GAAGGAACACAGTTTTGAGTTTCGAAATTTTGTGAGACGTTGTTTGAGATACCCGTGAGGTGTACGGGTGAAAGAGATGACATTTTTTTTTAAAAGGGATCTGTTAGTATTTGAATTTAGATGTCATCTGTTTATTTTATGAAAAAAAAAAAAAAAAAAAAAAAAAAAAAAAATGATCGAACGCATAAAAAGACGCCTTTTATGACTTCTATCGAAAATAATATACACAGTTCTCGATTTATATTAGTTTGCCCATGTGTATGAGATGATAGCAAGTAAATAAGTGTAATTGTAACGGTTAAACTGATGCTGATAAATACATGTATAAGGATTGTGCTTTAACTCGAAACGTATTTAATATGATCCAATAATTACCTAAACATGTTTTAGACTAAAAAATATAACGATAAATTTTATTATTGTTATTTAATTCAATGAAGTGAATATGAGGTGTTTCATCATAAAGTTGTAGTAGAAATTCGAATATCTTCGTTCTCGTTAATTTCATCTAAATCTGTTTGCGTAAAAAAAATAGTAATGAATTAATGAAGCCAATAAAGAAATAAACAAGTAACTTTACCTTCGTTCGGAACAAACTGAAACTTGTCAACCGTGAACATTCAACATGAATTTTAATTACATGTAATATGAAAGTTAATATGATTTGTATTTAGCAATAGAAAGTACCCGTGTCAGCTGGAATGGAAATTAATCTCGTAGTAAATATTCGATTGGTGTAAACTGGAGTTGCTGTTTTTATATGGTGCAGGAACTCTTAAATCAACAATATGTTTCAATTTTAAAATGTTACTACTCAACATAGAGGTAAAATTTTCAAAATCTGATCGGTAACTTTGTAGAACTTGTTATAAAGAACAAAGTTACCGGTCAGTTTTTGAAAATTTTGCCTCTATATTGAGTAGTAACATTTTAAAATTGAAACATATTGTCGATTTAAGAGTTCCTGCACCATCTTCTCATCAAGTATATCTAATTCCTTCCATACTCAAGTTGTTAGTCGAATTGTTTTACCATTGTCAATATATGACATTAGACAAGTTAAAAATCTAATGTATGTCAAAATGTCTAACGCTAATGCAATCAATATACTTGTAATTTAGTTGTGTTCCTTTGCATTAATCGATTATGTATATAAATTATCCATAATCACTAATAAAATAAACTCAAAGATGTCATCTGAAATTTCCAATACGTATAATTGTAGTGTAAGAGTACTACTACGAGCGTCCAGTCACAATACTCATGATTGTAGTAGATGTTCAGTTCACTCTTTCCAAAAATCAGCAACTTTGAAACATGATATCTTATGAATTACCAGACCATTTTTGTAAAAAAGCAACTATTATTGAATTCACCTAAGCTAGGTGAATTTAATGATAGTGTGTTTAGAAATAATGCAAAAGCTTTTGTTAATAGTTATTTTCCTCCACATTATCAAAGATAGCATAAGGAAACAAAAAATGTTCAATATACAGAAAATTTTATTTGATAAAGTGCTAAAAATCTTATATTAAGGATTCATAAAGTATTAAAAAATTTTCTTTAGCTAAACCTAATAGTCAATTGTTTTCAGTGACTTCTACATTCCGACGATTGAATGTTGTTCGTATCTCGAATTTAATGTGATATAAAAAGTACCAGCAAATTGCACCAACTCCTATCACCACAAAACTGAGGACATAAGGAAGGTAATATTTGTATGCTGCGTATTTGTGGCCTTTGTAACTTTCACATAATTGATCGTCTTTGGGTGTTTTGGGCTGTTCTAATTGTTGTTGCTCTTGTATTGATGAATCATTTACAAAAGACCCAATTATGATAAATAATGTGAACATAATAAATAATACAGGTATTAAAATAAACACCTTGAATGGGCGATCTAAATTGGGTTCAGAATAGCGCAGAAACTAAGAATATTTGGAAAATTAGAATTAGAATTATTAAATTCATTGAAGGTCTCGACAGAATACCGATTAATATAGAAAACTCACCAATAATCCTAAAGCGCTCAGAAATAGAAATATCCAAATGCAATACTCACCCAAACTAACAAAAAATACAAATGGATCATTATCTGGAAAAAAGATAATGATCAAGGAAGACAAAACTCCTTGTGTTATCTGAAAATAATTAAATGCTTATGATTAAGAGATCAAAGAAAATACGTAAATGTTGAGAATAGAAAATTTATTTTTATACCAATGCAAAAATTGGCGTATCCGTATCTGGATTCCATTTTTGGAACCACGACGAAAAAGGCATATATTTCCTTTTAGCAGCAGCTACTATTACTCGCGAACCAGCCCATATGTTTGCAGCCAATGCTCCGAAAGCTGATAAACAGACGAAAAAGGATAATGTACGAGCTAAATTAAAACCGCCGACTTGGAAAGCGAGTTGGCTAGCGATGATTTCTGAAGGTTCATTATTGTCGGTGATTTTTGATAATGGTACATTCGTATATGCGATATTAGCACAAAAGTCTAGAATATACAAATTGATACATTAAATATAAGAACATATCAACAGGACATTTCTATTCACTTAATAAATAATACCTACACAAAAAAGTAACAATACAGACACTAATACTATTTGATAAGAATAATTTTTCTCGTGGATTGACGAATTCATCCAAAGTATCTATAGAAAAAGATTAATACTCAGTTTACTGAAGTGCATATAAAAAGTTTAACACTTACAATTTAAATTATTCCAGCCACCATATGAAAATAAAATAGGAATAAACGCAGCAGTCAAAGAGTGTGCACTGATATTCCTATTATTAGGAAACATATTTTTCCAATTTGTATTTTCATCATTGATAAGTTGAGGAATTGTTGCTAGTCCAATAATCGATATCGTAAGCAGTGTTGCCATCTTTATAATTGTAAAAGTTTGATTTATATGATTTGCCCATTTGTTGGATAGAATATGGTAAGTTGTGATGATAACTACTGCAGCTAACGAACAAAGTCGTAGTTGCCTAATGACAAATTTTAATATTTAGAATAGTTTAGGTACGTGAATCTATATACATGTACATGTAATCACTTACCAAAATTTCCAATCAGCAATGTATTCCTTAGGATGCAGATAATCAATGTCACAACGTCCTTTTGCTTTGACTAAATATAAGAAATATTGTGCGAATACATTCGCTATTGCAGACATATAAGCTGGTTGTATTACCACAATCATGGCAAAACTAAACATGTAACTAAATAGTGCTTTTGGATGAGGATATGCTTGCTCCAAATACACAGTTTCTCCGCCTCCATCTGGTTTAGAACTTCCTAACTACATGTATCATGTATTGTAAACTTAAGATGTCAAATTATATGAAAATAAAATGATATCCAAAATAAATACCTCGACATAAGAAAGTGACCCAAACAAGGTGACAATTCCACCCACTGTCCATAAAATTAATGCTATCCCAGGAGACTGGATTTCATTTAAAACTAGACCAGGGCTTGCAAATATTCCAGCACCAATCATGTTATTGCAATTATTCCCAATTCCAGCAAAAGTTCCTAAAAGTCTTGTTCTTCCCGCTGACACGTCGCTGGCAAGGTCGTCGCTGGAATGGTCGTAGTTGTCAAGGTTGTCTCTTGGCGTAAAATTACTTCCAGTACCATCATTACTCATTGTTTCAATATATATTTATTTTGTTGTTTTTAAAAATTCAAGTTTAAATTCATAATCTGTAAAACTGTATACACGTATATATATATATATTATTTTACATTACACGATTTTTTTCTCGAACGCAAAAATCCAGTATTGATTGTTTAATAAAGAATATGTGTACAGGGTAACTAGTTTTTGTAATTACAAAGAAAGCATTTGTAATTTTAATGGTGACATTTGAGAAATTCAAATTATCAGTGCTTGTAGACAGAATGCTTGCGCTTATTATAAATAATTTTTCATCCTCTTAAATAGAATTTACTTTTTCAAAATACGAGCGCTTTCTCTTAATACATGTACCATAGTTCAGACATTGTAGTCTCTTGTTCCTAATTTTGCTTTGCAATTACGAATTCTCTGTAACACAAATTTCACAAAAACTACATTTTGATGCTTTTACTTTTAAACTTCCTTATTGTTATTTCTTGCGTGACGAAAACATATTTGTGTATCATACATAAGGTTTACCTGCTTATTTTAGAAATATAATAATAAAAAGTGAACGGAGATATGATTTGAAAATCATCGTGCATATTTTATTGTTTTCTGTCCATATCGATATTTCTTTAGTTCACTTATTTCTGCGTTGATTGATGGCTCATTGCTTCAAGAAAGTCTAACAGTGTATGAATAACAGTACCCTTTTTAGGAGACATCTAATATACAGTGTGTAACAAAGTCTGCATACCTTCTATTTGAAATTTGTGTGACTTAAGTATCTTTGAGGTTACCTTTATATAGCTAAGTTTCTTCCTGTTTTGGAGGATACCGACTAAATATGCACCTACTCATTCAATTCAACATTTGCGGTATGAGGGAATACATGATGCAAATGAAAGCTTCCAGCGTACGAACATTCTAAAGAGAACTATTTATTACAATATTCGCAAGTTAAAAAACTGGGAGCGTGGCACACAATCAGTGCAGTGGTCACCCAAAAAAAAAGATATGCACAGTATTCACCAAATTCTTTGCAACGTGCGCAGATATTCTATGAAACATATGGGTTATAAAAAGTCTGCCAACCGCAACACCAATACTCGTGGATATACAATACACAAGCGAGAGCGTGTAGCATGAGCAAAACTGAGAGTGAACAATATTTTTGATGAAGCAACTTTTCAAATTGTTTAGGATCACCATATAACACTGAAACAAGGCGCGCAACCAGTCCGTTCTATTCCGAAAGAACCGATCAAATATCTTGTCCTGGATTCTGTGCAGATCATGGATGGTGAAATATTGGCGATTCTAACAAGACAATGATCTACACCAGCTTTTCAGCAAAAATTCCTTCGAGGGAACTTTGACCATCCAACAGTCTTGACTTAAATCCTATCGAAGAACTATGGTATTTAGTCAAGAGGAACGTAACAAACCGGATGCTGAGGAATCTATTAGAATTGGTCGTTTTATAATAGAGGAGTGTGAAGGTGTTTCGCAGGATGTTTAGTAAAGTCTATGTAATTATCCAACGCTTATACTGCTAATCGTGACGCTGTATAACACAATCACGATTAGTATAGACAAATAACAAAATATAATTAACACAAAGAGACAAAAATGGGAAAATAGGTATGCGGTAATACAGTATTTTTGTTGTCTTTGTTGTTGTGGTGCCAGTTAAAGAAATTTTTGTCTTTTGATTTCATCCATTTAAATTGTGGGGTTATAAATTATCATTACAATAAATTGGCATTACGGTCCATTGTCATTACCGCTATAAAAATTTATAAAATACTTCTTCCTTTGAATATCAGATTTTCGTTATAGAGATCAAATCAGACCTTAGTCCCATCACGCATGTATTATTTACAAAATTTTGACATGACTGAACTTGTTTGCGACCATTTGAAGGTTATCAATGGCCATTCTTCTATTTGTGTACTAACGCTAATTAGTGATAGAGATCATATTACCGTGTGACGTGGATTTAGAGATAAAATCATTGTTAGCGTTCGTTAGGCTGAATTTTTAATTCATTATAAATAATAAGTAGAATTTGGATATAAATGTAACCCGACAAAGCTTAGATGATTTGATGTATTTATAATAATTTATTTCATATTTTTGACAAAGAACACTTCCCACTAGCAATATCAGATGGTGAAACACTCACAGCAGTATTTTCTATTCGAAATTGATGAACAACACGTTACGTAATTACGCATTCTCTTGCAATACAAGTATCAAATATGATCTAATGCTAATTAAATGTACATGTATATCGCTATTGTAGATCATAACTATAAAGATACGTACATTGTAATCACTTTCTTCCCATAGAACAAACAAAAAATTAACTAAATAAAAATGACACCCGACTTGTTATTGACTTCGCACTTAAACAGACTCGATAAGTTCTATCAAAATTCCAACTACTGTGATATTTCGATTATTGTTGGTGAAAACCAGAATACTCAACGTACTTTTTCAGCCCACTTGGCAATATTAGTGGCGCAGTCGCAATATTTTGCGGTAGCACTTTCTGATGCATGGGTGAAACGAGAGCAAAATAAGA